TTTCTTATCGGTACAGCTCAGTGCCCCGAAGATGATTCATTTAAGTGCTGCTGCTCTCCTGGACTTCAGTATCTCGATTGCACTCAAGATTTCCGCTTTTATTGGTGGATCCATGTGTGCTGTTAGTGGTATTTCTGGGCGAACTGCAGATGATAGTCGATTCAGGAGTCCTTTATAATGATCAGCCCATTGTTTTATTTGTTCATCCTCCTTGGTGATCAGGTTCCCTTGGACATCTTTTATTGGTTTCATCGTTTGGGTTGATCCTTTCCTCGATAGCGAGCCGCCTGTCTGATGTAATGTTCTCAGGTCTCTCTTACCTGCGGCCTGCCTGCCTACCTGCCTACCTGTTCTGCTTCAGTTGCCGCCAGCCAGTGTGTCGTAGAATTGTCTTTTGTTCTTCCTAGCAGTCTTCTTCACATCTCCCTTCGTTCACTGCAGTGAACATCGCTGTGAACTCAGCTTTTCATTCTGTTGCCCATGTTTGCATTGAGTCATCTCTTTCAACATCCTCCTCTCCTCGCTTCTTTGAGGAGTGTCCGTTGACAGCCATTCCTTGTTGTGTCTCATTTTTCTTCCTAGAATGGTTGCGCACGTTTCCTTAAACATCAACTTCAGACAGTTAGTTATTCCCAATATTCTTCCACACAGGTTTCCTCAGTGATGAATCCCCGACTTCGCTCTGATCTGATCTGATCCCTTGTAGGTTAGTCTCTCAGCTTCTGAATGTTGAACTTGAATTGTGGTGGTTTGTCTCCAGTTATTTTGAGGGAATTCAGCTTCACCTTGAAGGATCCTTAAACTAGATGATGGCCTGAGCCCGCCCTCCTATGCTCCTCTTGACTCTGTATACAGCAGGCTTCGTCTGCACCTTTCCGCATGGAGTACATACCTAGTTGTAGAGGAAGTCCAGTAAAAGCACACCCAAAGTGTACATATGCTTCACGTGATGGTATAGATACTTTGCAGAACATATTAACATTACAGAGTATTTTAATCCCATGGCAAATGTAATGAACTCAATCCCAACAGTGAACAAGCTGTAGTATACAGATGGATGTTCAACCAAATGTTGATTATCCTAAAAGAATCCCACTGACTACCTGTACAGCGCCAATTAATCCGCCAATTAAGAAATAATGAAAGCATATAGACAGTAGGATTTCACTCTCATTGAGTGATGTCGGCAATTTTCAGCACATGCTGACCAGTAGTTATGGTGGTGAACACTAAGGTGAATCGCTCCATTCTTCAGGAACAGCAGTATGCGATTTGACGGCTCAAGATTTCTATGAGGGCTTGAATCTTCATCTTGAAAAAGATTATAATGATAGCTTGGACAGATCATGCTTATACCTTTAAACATATACCATTCGGTCAGCCTATTGCTGAGATGCGACCACGTGGGCTCTGCACAGATTTATGGGGCATCTTATAAATTGACATGCTTTCCTTTGTCGTATCTTCGAATATCACTTAACAATGTCTCATCTCATACATTTTCTAATAACGTCTTCACTTGCTCATTATATTCCACTAAACCTAACATTTTATAGCTCTTTATGAATTTGATTCGACTTACATTATTCCTATTCTCTATAGAGTACGGTTGCGCACCAAACACAAAAAAGTATGAAATAAAAACAACTGGCTTGTGGATAATTGCATTAAACCAAAAGTGGACATCATGATAGTAAAACCTTAATGGGTTACCATATTCCATGGCAAGGAACTTTGTCCAGCTAGGGTATTATGCCTTCCTATTTAATTTCTTTATGGATCCATTTATTAAATATTACATTCATTTACCTTATTCCATTCAACTTAATGATTTAACCTAGCAACCTTTTCTTTCTTAAACAACTTTCCTTTCCTTGGTAACGTTTTACCTTACTTCATTTTGGTTGGTTTATGTCTTCCTAAAACTAATGGTTGCAAAAGGAATTGAATTTAATTTCGCTACCCAACTGGAAGATTTGTTTTTAAATCAATAAATGATACGCATTGGTCAAAAAAAGAATTTATTTATACATTAAATAAATATTTAGCCTTTCAAAAAATTACTTGTAAGAAATTTTATTATTTTCCATAATACCAAATTGTTCCTGCCTTGAAAAAATGCATTGAATTTAGAAATTTTTATTTAAAATGAAAAATTAATTTTTTTTATTTTTTATTTTTGTATATAGGGTCTCTCTATTTTTTTGTTCTCTCTCTGTGTGTACACAAAAAAAATTTACTTTTTGCGACTTGTGGTTTTTGTATAACACTTCTCCTCATCTTCTTGACAAGCTTCCCCCTAGGGCCCCATAGAAATCTTCGTGACACCTCAAAGTTATCATTGTCACCGGTTTTTATTCTTCTCCACCTTTTAGTCCACTCTCCTCTTAAAAATATTTTTTATCCTCCTCAAGATTCTTTTTTTTTTTTCTCAATATTATACTCTTTTTTCTCATAACCTTAGACGTTTTTAGAGAATAAAACTTATTCTTTTTGTTTATATATGTTTCCTTTAAAGTTTGGCTGCTTTGGTTAAAAACACAGCAACAACACCAATGCTTGGACAATGCTATATTTTCGTCGAAAACATCATAGTTTTCCAATTTTGACAAAAATGGGTTGCACTAAAAAAATTTTGCAAATGTATTCTCATTTCCAAGGGTGTCTCTCTCCCTCTCGTGTATATCTTTTTTTTATGTTATTAGAAATATATATTACAAATTTGTGTTTTTTGTTATTTTCGCTTTCCCCAGAATTCTTTTCTCTCTTTAAAATATATTTTTAAAACGGGGTGCTACAATAGTACCTAAAGTATACTATGCTCTCTGTTTGCCTATCATTAATATCAGCAAGGAACGAAAAGTTGGTTGTGTCGCCGATATGATTTGGTGCCGATTTTGGGGGTGTATTATAGAATATATATGATATGATGCTGATCTGGTTCCCACAATAATAGTGTGATTAAATTTTCTGTAAGAATATTATTATTTAAATCTGTCGTAGTGACCTCAGCGTGTGTTTTCTCCTCTTTTTTTAGATTCTCCGGGGGGTTGCGCCTCGCCTTTCTTTGCTACACTCCCCCCTCACATAATACTCTACAAAATAAGGTGTTGTTGATGTGTTGAATATTATGAGGGGGGTCTATTCTTGTGGTGCTCTTCTTTCAGCAGCTGTGTTATATGTTTTTTTTTTTCATATAAAGTTCTGTCATATCACATAGAGTCAATGCATTTTTTGTATATTCTAGACGTGAGATTAATATATGTGTCCCCTCTCTGTTCTTGTCATTTAACTGATCTCACAACACTCTTCTGTACATGATATTATTACTGTTTATATGCTATACGTAGCAGTGTTGTGGTGCTGTAAAGAAAAGAATATATACAGCTTATTTAAATAAACTCGATTTTTTCTTTTTTTTATTTTTTCTATATAGTACATCTCTAGAAAAGTATTTTTTTTAATGTTATATTCTTTGTATTGTGGGGTACAATAAATAAAAAAAAAAAATTACTATTATTTTGATGAGGGAAAAAAATCTCAAAAAACACAAAAAAAAAAAAAAAGTATCTCAGGTAGAGTGAAATGAGATAAAATATGAGGAGAAAAAAAAACGAGAGGATTTCATTGCAGTGCAACTATTCTTTTATAAGAAGAAATAACCAAATTAATGAAAGAAAGTTTCAGGCTTAAATAATCAGTCCTTTCATTTTTATTCCTTTTTTTTAAGAAAGAAAGTTGGTTGGCAAGGTGGTTGATAAACTTATTCAAACAAAGGGATGGACTTCCTTCATTAATTTTCTTTAAATAAAAAAAAGCCTCAGAAATCATACACACACAGTTCCTACTTGGCTACTATTCCCATCCACCTGAGTTACTCAGTCATTAACGAGATCTGAATGGCCACAGAATACTGCGTCGTAGACGCCTTACATGTCCTCAGGAATCGCCAAAGAATCCTATGAACCAGGCGGTGTTTAAGGTAATCTGTTTATAAGCCATACTTCAACCGTCCCCCACTGATTTGACATTGGTTTTCAGAATTTCAGTCTCGATTCTTGGACTGAGTACCATAAATCTCCACTGTGATTTCTAACCAATGGAAACCTGTTTCTCAATCTCCATAGGACCCTCTCAGGCACTAACATCCCCATCTATGTAATCTGTTTGTGGCTGAGACTACGCTATTCAAGTTAGTGAAATTAAAGTGCCTTTGATTTCTCCTCCCGATTGTGACTGGCCTTAGTAACAGTTGAAAGGGGGGTAAAAAATAACACTAATGTATTCTTCCCCCTACTCTAAACCCCAAAAATATCTGTAAAATTTTTTTTAAAACCACCGGGGGGGTGTAAAAAATTTGTTATTGAAGGTGGAAATGTGCAAATTTTACTATTTTAAGAAAATTTCTTCTTTTTTCGCATCACTACATATTATTGATTTATTCAAAAAAAAAAAAAAAGAAATTCGTCCAGCCAGAATCCTCTTGCTTCCTTAATATTTCTTCTGAGTTTTAAAAATCATTCTTAACATAATGGGGCGGTGTTGTTGTTCGCTAAAGTCTTTCGACAGTAAGAATTCAATTAGTAAAAATTACTGCGCTTAAAATGCCTTGAATTAATTTTCTTTGAACATACTACAAGAGAAAAATTACCATCTATTTTAGTATAATTAAAAAAAAATCCTTCGTTATTTCATTCTTTCTTTTTGTTGGATGAATTATTTTTAATTCATTCATTGTTTATTACCACCTGAACAACCAAGAAGAAAAAATTTTTTTTTTCCTTAAAAGGACCTTTCATTAAAACCAATGAGTAAAAAAAAGGGTCGAAAGCCATCCTTTCTCGACGATGAAGTCTAATATTAAGCTTCTTGAAATTGTTCAACTGAGGGAATCCTGAAGGGCGTGCTTCTTAAGTTGTACGCTACTTACCCTTCAATTACAGGATCTTAAGATTTCGGAGAATAGCGTCATCGGGTGGTTGGTTATAAACTAGACTAAAATGTCTTATGCGTATCTTTTTAAGTATATTATTATCGGTGATACAGGTATGTTTGTATTTCTGATGCTGTTATGCACAGCTGTTGGAAAATCATGTTTACTTCTTCAGTTCACAGACAAACGTTTCCAACCGGTATACGATTTGACAATTGGTGTTGAATTCGGTGCCCGAATGGTAAACATTGCAGACAAGCAGATTAAGCTTCAAATATGGGACACGGTGAGTGCATATGTTGACGGTGGCAATCGTGTCATGTAATCTGAGTAGTGGTTGTACTGTGATTTTTTGAAAGTTTTATTATTTTCTTTTGTTTTTCAACTGCTAAAGACTAAACTAAGGAATCAAGGAACATAGGGATTTCAAAGTATGACAAACATCATACTCCCATTTTATTTTGCTTGAAATGCAAATGCTTATCATGTGACCTCAGACTGCTTTATTTATGTATATGCAATGACCAATAATCTTGGGTTATTAGGGGCAGGTTAAGGTTTTTGTGAATGTTTTTGGTAAATCTAAGTTGTAAAAGGCTTGAAGCTGAAGTGCGGAGATAATTTATTTGTACTTCAAATATGTAATTTACACAATCCGGCTAATCATAATAAAGGTTTTTTGTATTTCCCAATGAATAAAAAACAGAACGACATTGTTTCTACTGATATCTCGCTATTTAATGCTGATAGCTTTATCACAGTACTAAATAAACTAGAATTTACGAAATCTCAGCTTATGTATAACTTAGTCATCGTTCCTCAGCATGAGGGACATTTTTGCGTTGGCAAGTTGGCCAATTGCTAAAGATAACAAGACCAGGTGTAGATTGTTTCATCTGATAAGTGTATACAAGTATGAAAACAGCATGTACTTACATAATGAAATTGCTTATCACGTTCGTGTTGATTTTGTCATTACACGAGGAATGGAGGTGTTGTAACCAGGTTAAATTCTGTTTCGATCCATCATTCCTATTCAGACAATTTGGATTCCATTTGATACGAAGTGCTTCTGATATTAGACGTTCTTTGAGACTTCTGAAACTTTTCTGGATTTCAATACTAGAGGAAGAAGAACAAGAAGTTCAGCAAAGATATCTTTTCAGCGATTTCATTCTCAAAAGCTGTACAGTCGCATTTATATACATAAGTTTACATGGACACAATTATTGTTTATTTAATTCCACATGTTAACGAAGGAGATAATAATTTTCAACTTGATATGAAAGTTTGAAGGTACGAATATAGATTACAAGAGGCATAGAAACAAAAATTACACAGGATTAGAATATAATTGTAAAATAGTTATTCTAAACGGATTACAAGCGTGAGCAGGAGGAGCATGGAAACAAACTTGAAATAACTGTTCTTATAACTGAAAAAATAGGATGAATTGAATGAAGACAAAGAGAAAAAAATAAACTACCAGGGAACAAAACAAAGAAGTGAAGGCTAAGGGAACATACCGAACTAGGTCCATGGTAGTTGTAAAGGCTGGACTAGTTTCTTTTGAACACATAGCTCCGGCTTCTCGACGCATGTGGTGAGAGCTTCTGCAGTACAAAGAAGTCGGAAACACACCGCCTTTGGTAGATTTTTGTTTACTTTGTAAATGACTCCGAATGATGAGTCAGTTGAGATGCTGTGACAGGTATTGACAAGATGTTCAGTAATGGTGCTTCTGATTGAACCAGTACCTTTTCTTTGCAGCCATGCTGAATGATGTCCTCTAACACGTTTTGGTGAAATCCGCATAGAACGACCTGTGTACTTAGCTCCGCACGAGCAGGTGAACTGATATATGCACATTGAAGTGGTCATATGCGGAAGTCTGTCCTTCCCGTTGCTCCGAAGTAGTGGGCAGTCAGAGAATCTCACTCTTAGAGTTGCTGCAATAAAAGCATTCTTCAGGGAAATGGAGATTCTTCTTTTAAGGATATTTGCTGCTAGGTCTCCCCTTAATTCCAGATTCAAGTAAAGTGTTTTCTTTGGCACTGAAGTGCATTCTTCTCTTTTCGTCTTTGGTTTCATGTTCTTCTCCACGAAACGCGGTGGGTATCCATTTTAAATCAGGATACTTTTGAGAAATAGGAGCTCTTCTTCTAAACAGTCATCGCTACAAATTCTTCTGGTACGGTATACCAGCGACATGATGAGAGCTCTTTTACTACTGACAGGTATCCAACTGTAGAAGTTTGTCAGTTGGCCATTCCATGTTGGTTTTCTATGGACAGATCTTTTCAGAGTTCCGTCATCTCTTCTCGTCAGTTCGACGTCCAGGAATGGGATCTTTGATTCATTTTCAACCTCCATTCTGAATTTAATTGAAGGATGGCAGTTATTAAACTCCTGTAAGATACAATTTAAATAAGAATCATCCTGAAAAACTACAAAAGTGTCATAGACGTATCTTTTGTACATCAGCAATTTGTCCATTGTTAATTTTAAGACTCCATTTTCCAGGCTGGCCATGAAGTAGTCTTCCAAAATTGGGCCAGGGAGAGAGCCCATAGCAATCCCGTCTTTCTGTTTATAGATGACGTCGTTGAATGTAAATTGTACCTTAAGTGCACACCTTAATAACAGCTCTTTCAGATATGAATTTGGTATTCCGATGCTCAGTTTTGTCATGCATACCTGTGTACCATCCAGAAATATACGCAAACTAATAAAATCAATAAGGTTTCTAGTGTGACGTTGGAGAGTTTTGCAATTGGGATAAATATGATGCCTTCAGAGTACCTTCTAGTACCACTTCAGATATCGATGATTCTTAATGCAGTTTTGAAAGAAGTCCAGTTTTGCATTCACTTCGGCAAGTTTGACGGAGCAACGCAGAAACCCACTGAGTTCCTTCACTGTTGAAGAGTCCTTGCATTCTTTTTGTCACAGCATCTCAACTGACTCATCATTCGGAGTCATTTACAAAGTAAACAAAAATCTACCAAAGGCGGTGTGTTTCCGACTTCTTTGTACTGCAGAAGCTCTCACCACATGCGTCGAGAAGCCGGAGCTATGTGTTCAAAAGAAACTAGTCCAGCCTTTACAACTACCATGGACCTAGTTCGGTATGTTCCCTTAGCCTTCACTTCTTTGTTTTGTTCCCTGGTAGTTTATTTTTTTCTCTTTGTCTTCATTCAATTCATCCTATTTTTTCAGTTATAAGAACAGTTATTTCAAGTTTGTTTCCATGCTCCTCCTGCTCACGCTTGTAATCCGTTTAGAATAACTATTTTACAATTATATTCTAATCCTGTGTAATTTTTGTTTCTATGCCTCTTGTAATCTATATTCGTACCTTCAAACTTTCATATCAAGTTGAAAATTATTATCTCCTTCGTTAACATGTGGAATTAAATAAACAATAATTGTGTCCATGTAAACTTATGTATATAAATGCGACTGTACAGCTTTTGAGAATGAAATCGCTGAAAAGATATCTTTGCTGAACTTCTTGTTCTTTCCCGTCTAATTTCCCCTATGGGTATTCTCCACAATTTCGATATTGTCAAAATCAATTTTGTAGCCCGATTCTATAGCCTGTAGACCTTTGGTTGGTGATTTTTCATGCTTTTCTAGGTCAGCTGGATATGTCAGTGGTTGAACAGATGCTCTACGGTGTTCATTTCTTCTGATTTTGATTTCTCTCGATGTTTGGCCGATGTATATCGCATCACATTCCAAGCATTTTATTTCATAGACAATTAGAGAATCCTTAGGGATCTGGTCTTTTATATGGACAAGGTTGCTATGCAATGCATCTGATGTTTTGAAGAAAACTCTAATGTCGTGCTTATTGAGTACTCTTCTTATATCGTGTGACGTCTCTTTTTTATACGGAATGACAGCTGTGGAGGCGCATGTTTTCGGGTTACTTTTTCGACCATACTTAATGTCAGTGTTGATTTGGTTGGTGAAGTTCTTTGGGTAGTTATTTTGTTTGAGAGTCCCGGTAATGTTTGATATTTCCTCTTCTTTTTCTTTCGCACCTGTTATCAAAAAGTGTACTTGCTTAAGAATACTCGAAACAACTGAAATCTTTGCGCTGATGGGGTGTGGTGATCCGAAGTCTAAATATTTGTTGGAGTGGGTTTTCTTCCTGAATACATCTATATTAAAATATCCGTTTTCTCTCCTCTTAAGTAGGCAGTGCAGAAAGGGTAGTTCCCGGAAGTCTGATTCTGCTTCCGAAGTAAACTGGATGCTGGGAGATAGATTGTTGTTTCTCCAAGAATATACTGTGTAGGTCTCGTTTTAGCACTACAGAAGTATCATCAACGTATCTTAACCATATTTTATGAGTATGCTGGAAAAGATGTTATCTTCGAATCTATTCATAAAAAGATCAGTGACTATTGGGGAAACTGGTAAACCCATAGCAACACCATTTGTCTGTCTATATAAATCCCCTTTAAATGTAAAATAATTACTTTCTAGAGAGAATTTTAAGCTCTTAATTATCTCATTGGTGTCCAGTGGACATCTTTGTGATAGCGTTGTATCTGATTCTAGTAAACTAGAAATGATATCAAAACTTCCGTTAATAGGAATACCAGTATATAATGAGTTAATATCATAGCTTACGATAATGTCTTCTATATCAATTTCTTGGTGTTCCATGTTGGATTTGAAATCATATGAATCTTTTACAACATTTTGAGTGTCATTCTACAGTGATTGTAGTGTCGAAAATAAGTATTTGGAGAGGTTGTATGTTGATGAGTTGGTAGAATCCACTATTGATCTTAATGCGACTGTGGGTTTATGTATCTTTGGTTGACCGTAGAATCTTGAAGGTACATCAGATTTTGGTTTGGCAGATTTCTTCTTTTCTTCAATGAGTAAGTGTAGTCCATCGGATAGGTGTTCAATCTCCTTTTCATAATCAATCCTGTTCATTATCACAGTGACGTTTCCCTTATCGGCTTTAGTTATAACTATGCTTTTGTCTTTTTTCAGATTTCTTAGGGCCTCATATTCTTGTTTGGTGATATTAGATGGTGTTTCGTTGTGTCATTAATACGCAATCGAGTGTTTGCTGTTATACGTTGTAGATATCGAGTTTGACTGGAAAAGCCTACACAAGGTAATAAAATGAGTTGACAACGCAGTTGGCTGATGTCTTGAATTACACTTTTCTTGTTCATTTATTTCTCTGCCCTACTGTCTAAGTACCCACCCCAAATTCGTAAATTCCATCCACTTTACTTATGTCAGTGGAAAATAGGATTTCTATGCTTTAATTTAATTGTTCTTCACTCTTATAGCCACATACGAATGGATGTTATCGTAGACGTATTTTATTGTGTGTTCTTGAGTGATAGTCACCACAGTTGTTGGTTCGTGTCATGAGTGTTCGTTTTTCAGACTTCGAGCTATATATAATGGTTTGTGGATATTTTAAGTAGTAAGCGTTACAAATTTCAGTCATGAATTATTTTTGAATAGGTGCGAGTTTCATGTTATGAGTGATCAAGGTGTCGCCGACTACTCAGTATAGCATATTTCAAGTTTTTTTTCAGATTAAATCGATGAAAAATTCAACTTTTTTTTGCTGACTTGTTTGTGCTCTTCACACATTATTTTAAGTGGTTTTATCCTGCGTATTCCATTAGGTCTTAAATTCATAAAAACAATGTCATTTTGCTGATAGCCGTATTTTTATGCTGTTTAGGTTTCTTAATGAACTGACTACATCTAGTAGGTTTGTATCTTTTCTTATACAAAGGGACATTAACAATATGATCTATACTGAAGCTCTCCTGTTTATTAATGGGTTCTTAGACATTGACTAACCTTGATTTTAACAATATACCGGCGTAAAATCTGACTACGTACTAAATTTTAAGCAGTCAGATCATATCAAGACTCTTGCAGAGTTGTCTTGATTTAATGGCTGATCCAGGGAACTTATATTATTATTATCTCATAGTTTATGTTTACTGAGTTCCGATCCTTAAGGAACCTATTAGTTGGCGATTATTGTCTAGTGAAGACTGTATGATTTTCTATTTTTTTGCCCTTAAATTTTTTCAGTAAACTTGCTTTCGAACAGCTTTCGCTTCCTACTCTCACCGTGACCAGTCTGTTTGCATCAACCAGTCTGGATAAAGCTCCAGAAACTTACATGCATTTAGATCTTGCGTTAAGATGATTATATCGAAGAGTTTTTATCTTAGCTTTTAGTAAAACTCATCCTTTACTGTGTTTGAGCTGTAGTCAGTTAATGTATACTCAAAAGCGTCATGAAAATGAGTGTCAAACATTTCTGTAAGGCTACTATTGCTATATGATGGTGTAATGAAGGTCTTCTAAGTAGAGCTTGAAATGTAAACTTGTTTCGGCAAATTCTCAATATTTCTTTTTTGTCGTACTATTCATAACTTTATTCCAACCTTATTGTGCTCCAAGTTTATGTTTAAATAAAATGATAAAATACCACACATAACTTATCAAAATTTCATTTATTTGTTCTCTTTGTGGTATCATTTTCGTCCCTCTACTTTGTGTATCTTTTAAAAGTGTGATAGGTTAAACTGATGCATCGCTGTGTGATATCCTACGTCGATCGGTCAGCAGGGTATGATAAGAAATATGGCAATTTTCGTTGTTAAGCAGCTAGGTTATGTGGACATAAAGTTTAGACACCTACTTCAGGATTGCCATTGTTGCCACATTGTTGATTATTGAGGTAAGTAGCATGACTTCCCCAACCCTAAAGGGACAGACCCGCGTCACTTGCAAACATTATAAATATGCCGTAATCACTGACCACTGTCATTACACTTCGAAGCCAGTTGTGACTCGACTTTGACAAAAATATTTGTAACTCAAGCTACCTGGATATAATTAAGTAGTGTAGGTTTATGGTTATGGTCCGACAAATGGGGATAAAACATATGAGAAAATGAAATTATTTTTTGGAGGATGTCCTTTGGATTTTATTTTATTTCATGGAGATGAGGGTCATTGGTTTAAACACTTAAGTCAGCCGATGAGTCCTAGGTTAGGATCCCGCCCCACCTACTTCAGTCTAGGCAGTTGGGTAGTGTTACTGGTCCTCATAAACCATGTGTATCTCATTGTCTGGTACATGAGAAATCTGTTTCGCGTAATTGAATTGTAACAACTTGCTTTAATGTACGTAACTACATTTAAATATAAATTCTAAACCAAACACGGCTATTTGTTAGTGGAACCTCCACAAGATTGCGGATTGTATACGTAATAATGATAAGTGAAGGCATGTGTGATGATAGAAATATTGAAGTCTTCAAAGCCGTCAAACGAATCAAGTAAGTTGGTTTTTAAGCACAAAGAATGTAGGTAAGAACAGTTTCGATGAAAACACATTGGGGAAGTGGTAATAAGAAAGGATTCTTCGAAGTGAAAGAGGACAGGATTTCACACAATTCTGATTGTATAGATTAGGATTATTAGTTTTAATGCGTTTGCAAGAAAAAAATATGAACGCTATTAGAAAAATCGTCTTAACTGTTGATAAATACAGGACGAACTACTACAATTTTTCTCTGCGTATTTACTGAGGTTCATACAAATTTTAAGTTAGATGAAAGTACCGATATTTACGAATACTTTGCTCTTCATCCTTTCACTACGATTTAGAGCTTTCATATTAGTTTTCGACAAGTATTAGGGATATGCTGTTTTATTATTTCCCTTGTTTGTTTCCCACTGTGTTTATGGGTGATATGGTAAATTAACGTATTATACAATAATACAAATTCAGATGTGTGCTTTGCTCAGTGATGAACATGTGGCTTGAATTTCAGCTAGTGTCCTATGTTCGAGCTCTGTCCCACCTACTTCAGATAGTATCAAAAACTAGGCATCTAGTGTTTTATAATCTAATAGTGGATCGCTGAATTGCAGTAATTTTGAGACTATTTTCTGTAAATTTCTCACCATTTATATTTACTGATCTAATTCCATTTGAATCTTGTCGAATGGAAGATTAACTACTACGTATAGATGAGATTACATGAATGATGTATTAACTTTGCAAATTTTGTTTTATCGGGATGTAATTTTTCACTAAATATTCACTTGTAGAGTGAGCTAGGATTGTCCCGTTTCGGAATAATGATATTTAAAAAAATTAAACAATGCGAAACATTAAAGTCAATCCTTTTTCTACTTTACTATGAATGAAATGATACTAAACTAACTGCAAACCTTCGGTTTCTATGCTCAGTTAATCGAATTTTTCATGTTGTATATCTACAGATCTGCGAATTGTGTTGCTATCATTTCTTTATTTGTTCAGGCTGGACAAGAATCATTCCGGTCCATAACAAGATCATACTATCGAGGAGCAGCTGGAGCTCTTTTAGTTTATGATGTTACGAGGTTTGTTGCTTCATTTTGTCTGAACTTTCTGTTATTTTTGAAACGCATTTCTTGATTACTTTACGTCTAAACAAATATTGACTACCAACCATTGCTCACAAATATTTCGACATCATGGTTACTGTGTGGATAGAGAAATGAGAGTTCCGTATTGTTCATAGTATGTATATTTATGTCATGTTGTCCTGCAGACTATTACTGACATATTTAACTGCTAGACTACATAACATTGTCTAAATAAGGCCAGTGGGAGCACCTCTCAGCCAAGAATCTGGGCCTAAAGAACATTAGGTGTAGATATGTAACATTTGTGCTTTTTATTGTTAAGCATAAACTGTGTGTAAGATATACATTCTGTAGACTTTTAGTGGGTTTCATTATAAAAATTGTGTTGAATTTTATTGATAGGATAATTTAGAAAAAACAAAAGACTAAGCGAAGAAATGTATTCCTTTTCAATTAGTTCCTCATCATTGGCTTTGCATCAGTATACAACTTTGTGCATCAAAATTATCATCAATCATATGATTATTTTAAGGTAATTTATTTACACCGAAAAATCCCTCGAAAGACTCACGTGAGCATATTTTCAATATCGTTGCAATAAATCATGATCAGTTGTTATATTGTAAGTGTAAATACTGTCACTTGGATTCCACTAAATTTAAGTTTCTCCATGAATCATATGTAAACTTTTACTAAGCTCTCTCTGACTACCTGGCTTTACGAGAATGTGTCTCCAATTGGTTAGTGGATTTGCCCATTTCACTAACTTGAAGAGGCATGATACCATTGCAACTGTTGTTTAACTTCCGAGTATGCCAGAAAAACGTTCGTATTAGGGTGTTCCCGTCAAGCTGTTATCAATCAAACAGTGCTGAGAAAATATTAGAAAGTTCGTCCAGATGAGCTATACACCCCTTCTTATCCTGCGGCTTTTAATCACCGATAGTAATGCTTTAAAAATTGAATACATTTATATGGAAATCAGCACTCCCTAAAGGCGAGTATGCTATTGGTCCGAAGAAGATAGCCTTCATTCTAACAGTGGTGCCAGATCACTGCTTATTCTTTATAGGTGCCTAAAGGCAAAATCAGTTTTGATGAAAAATAACAAACTTTAAGCGGCACTTGAGTTCCTAGTAGTCATTATTGCTATTCAGGTCCTATTTATCTTTTTCTATCACAAATCCACACTTTTATCTTTCCCAGCTCTGTATCCTATGTTAACAGCTTGATTTCACTTAATGGCTTAAGATATCTTAAAATCCCCTATCAAACTACGTATCAAACTATTCGATGTACGTATGCTATCTTAAACTAGATAACAAGCGTAACACATATCACACCAAGGATATTTGTTGTGTATAACAGTCAAGCACACGTGACAAAAGTCAGGTTATTCATTTGGCTGGATATTATATTCACCTTGATTGCGTACGAGACATGCATTTCACGGTTGAGAAATTATCAGGGGTAACGTTGATTGTTGAAGTGAATAGAACATGTCCATATTGAATTGTGGTTAATAACCACCTGTGTACTATTCGATCAAATGGTACAGTAGGATCATATCGCGTCAATTCGAGTACGAATAATGTTAAAGATGACGCTTATCACTTTCAAAAAGTAAAACACTATGATATGTTCAATAAGGCCACTCTATTTAAGTCCAACACAATAAAAAACATCTCAGTTGCCAGCTACAGGATTTTATGCATGTGATTGTTAAAACTTAAGACACTACTAGATCAAGCAGAATGAAGTAGATGAAGCCCGGTTTAAGCCTTAGGGTCGATTAAGTAGAATTCGGGTGCTTAAGGTAATGTTTTCAACTTCCATAATAACAATTTCACTCTTCAGTAGGTTTGAAGTCAGTCAGCTAATTTACACCGCAGATTAGCTGTATCCTAAACGTCGTGTCTGGTGAACACAACTTGTTGGTTTTAGTTGTTTTTCACTACTGATGTAAGCCAGTATACTGACAGTCTGCACGCTACTCAAGAACTAAGGAGATAAAGTATCATGACTTTCAGGGGAAACCACGATGAGGTTTTATTTTGGGTTGTAAGGTGCATTAAGCAACACCCTGAAGTTATACTTGAGAAAATCCAAGTGAATATTCCTAAGGGGTCACATTGCTTTGTAATTATTACTAGCAACATATAAATTCGTACTTTAATTGTTGAAACACTTGCAAGTCCATGCGTCTATTACTAATGTACAGGAACATTTATATAAGCGACACTGCATAAACCAAAAAATTAACAGAGATTCAAACTCAAATCTTACAATAACCATATTGCTTACTAGACATTTTTTATGATCTTTTTTCCGTTAATTAGACGTGATACATTTAATCATCTTGCATCTTGGTTGCAAGACGCTCAACAACATGCCAGTCCAAATATGGTTATTACATTAGTTGGGAATAAGTTTGACTTGGATGCTAAACGTGAGGTTAAACAAGAAGAAGGCGAATCCTTTGCTCGGGAGCATAAATTGTTATTTGTAGAAACGTCAGCTAAAACTGGGGCAAACGTTGAACAGGCTTTTTCTGCTACTGCACGCGCAATTTACGAACGGTTACAACAAGGTCTTCTGGATATCAACAATGATGTAAGTTTTCGTTACACAGAAAGAGATTCCTTTGACAATAGGTAACTTGATTTTATAAGCAGATCCATAGATATCTTGATTTTGTGTGGATTTAAACAGCTTGCCCACAAGTTTTGTGATGACGTCTTACTGTTTTACAGTATACACACCTTGTTATGACTAACAGCAATCTAATTTCTCTGTTACAACTTTCGTGGAACCAATGGCTTTAGGGTAATCTCTGTATAATAATTAAGGTAAATATTATAACCCGTAGATTTTATCGTTTGCCTATTTTTTTGGCAGATATTTGTACGAAACAAAGTGGAGAGAGAATGAAAATAAATTATGGACAGCAAGTAACTTTACACACTAAATTTTGCTTTTTTCACTTTTGCGTTTATCATGCGTGCGTGTGTGTGTTGAGTATTTCACCTTACAATTATTTTCCCGTGATGTCAGTAGCCTTAGATATTGTAATTTTCAGTGTTTTCTCCATCATGTTTTGTTTAAATTCAATGCTTCTGATGGATTGTTCTTGTACTGAAAGAAAGTTTCATTATGTATTGGATTAGCTGTATGTGTCGTATTGGAAATCTTTGGTGTTATTACGAATGGAATTGTACTCACAAGTTGTCTTGATTTTAAAGAATCCTTCTGAAAGACTGTGTATTAAGATATGTGTAGTTGTTCAGTCTGTAGCACTTGTCAACTTTGATTCTCGCTAAGACTGTTTATAAGGACTCTGTCTATGGTACTTCTTAGTGTAGGTCCACCTTCTGACTAATGCTATGCAGTGGTAATTACAGGTACTATAATATTCTTAACAGTCTACTCTTCTTCGAAGATTTCTGATCCAATTCCGTTATTGTTTTTGAACAGAGGGAACTTCACAAACAATTTTGCAATGAATAGCTTTTGATGCATGTTGTACATAAGTTTGCTACTTATTTTACAATGTGTTACATAAAGCGAGTATGAGGTTCGTTGAAATCAATGTATACACCGGTGTCGTTAGAAGTGTTTAGTCATTTCGATTGGGGCAACATGTTGGTTGTCTTATGATATTGTAGTTATCTAGAGTGATATTGTTTTAAAATGAAAGTGTTAATCGGGGAATTAATTAAAATCAAAGTTAAAATGTATAGACTATTTTGTTATGTGATGTCCTTGTATAATCATGAATGGATAACTTACTATCATGTATAGAAAATAACTTGTGCTTTGACTGTTTTTACTCTTCTTTATTGAAGCGCGAATGTAATTGTTATATGTGAATTAACTTGTATGTTCAGATATGACTTTTTGCTGACGTATACGGAGTAGTTCCGTTTCGTTAATGTTATTCATAATCCTGCAACTGGTTGTCGGGTTTTCTTATTTTGACACCCATTTTTTCTTTGTTATAATGTTTAGTTCTATTACAAGCTCAAAAGTTGAAGTAGCATCCGTTGCCTAACTGGCAACTGGGTTGCAGGAGCCCGGTGTTTATATCAGTAAACAGAAGCTTAACTGGCACTACACAAGTCATACATGTAAGCCCAGGTGTGCAACCATTGAAATTATGCACTATGTCGTTTACACATCTTAAGTACACATACTTTAAACAAAGAGTATTGCACGGAGCCATGTTAGCGCTTACGGAGAGTTGACATCTGAAGTGATGACAACTAGTGGCGTCTGTCAAGGATGCACACTGTTCTCATTTCTGTTTAATTTCATTATTGATGTATTCATGAAATTGACTGTAGCGACTTAGGGACTGACTAGTTCTCAGGGGACGGTCTCGTTGACCTAAAGTATTCGGATGATATTATCCTCCTAGGTGAATTCGTTGATAAAATCCAAAGTCTTCTCAACACCTTGAGAAGAAATCTTCGAATTTTCGGCATGCCTTGTGCTGCTGCCAAATGTAAGAGGGTGCTGCAGGACTAGACTGCACTGACTCCTAGCTTAAAAATAGGGACTGAAGTGGTAGAACGTGTTGACCGCTTCACTTATTTGGGAAGTCGCATTGGCCAAACCGGACTGATTGCTGACCAAATGTCTGCACTCACAAAAAGGCCCTCGTAGCATTAATCAAATTACATAATCTCTTACATAGATGCGATATCTGGTCATCGATTAAAGGGTATGTGTACTGCACAGCCGTTCTGTGTCTTTTCTTATTGCTGTGAGACATGACCATCGAAAATGGAAGATATGAAAAGGCTAGCTGTCTTTGATCATGGATGTTTGCGTTCTAGCTCTTGCGTGGTGTAATCTGGCAAGATTGAAGTTTAGCGTCGAGAATCAGTGGTTGGAGACACTAGGTGACATGGCTCAAAATCGTTGTCAGTGGCGCAGATGTATTCAGTCTCTTTAACCTTTCATATTCCTTTCTACCATTACTCATTCTGTTTCACTATTATACTTGTCTAAATTCTATTGATTCTCTTCACTCATTTTCTTGTCTACCTTTGTGTGCTATTTGGAACGTGGCAACTCGAACTGCTGCACTTCGGTGCCAAGTTCTATGTTGAATCCAGCAGCAGCAGCGTCGAGTGTTAGGTAAGTAGGGTAAGTTGATTGGTGCGGTTGTGTAGGAAAATTGATTAAGATAGCTAGGGCACCTGTTGCGCATACATAGCCACTGTCTTCCTCGACGAGGAATGTTAACTGATATAGGATTACGTTAGGAAAAAGTTAGGGATGGTCAGACTAAAACACCGTATAAATTCATGAAGTCTCTAATTGTTTGTTTGAGCCACGCAGGGAAGTGGCTGAGGTCCTCGTGGTTTTTGAAATCAACTTCTCGAGACTGTTGGAGATATAGCTCAAAGTCGTTCTGAGTGGCGCAGATGCTTTTGCTCTGTGTCATCTCCCAAATCCATTTAATGCTCATGTTTCTCCACGTCACTATTCTTTCTCCCAGATATCTGAATCCCCTTTTCCTCTCTTTTGTGTATACCTTTTTGTGTTAAATGGAATGTCATGACTTGAACTTCTGCGCTACTATGCAGAGTTCTATTTTAAAATCAAGTCAGTTAGTTGAAGAAAGATTTTAAACCTAATTGGTTCGCTTTCAGTGGATAAATTCATCTTCTCTTAGTAACACTTCTCAGTAGTAGACTGCATAAAAATTATAGTCACAGCAACGTGTGATATACTGTACGAAAAAATAAATTAAAAGCGTCATCGATTTTCTGCTATACAATTGCACTAGTGGTTACGAATGATTCGACAAATGAAGATATTTACAAGAAATTCTTTTTTAGGTAACATGGATGTGTAACTGTAAAATTTATGTCTTGTTCTAATTGCTTTTTTGTGAGAAATCTTTTACCATCAGTCGCATAACACTGGGAGATAAAATTTTAAAGTATATTTCTAGTTTTATGATTAACAGTTATAATTCATGACTGTTGATTGATAATTATCTTGTACACTAGACACATATGGTGTGATTTTAATCGGTATGTTGGTTTGATTTATCACTTTCTTTTCTGCTGTTTGTAAAAAGGAGCGGCAAATACAGCAAACTTTCTATATGGTTGACTTTGTAGTCGTTTCCATTCTTTAGCATACACTTATTTAATCATAGAAATAAAACAGGTTTGGATATGACATCGTTGAAAAATGAATGCTTTTGTTGCATTAATTGATCCTAGTAGTATGAATTCTTATTATTTGTCGACTGTTTTTTAAACTGTGTGAATTCGTGTTGTGTTTAAAATTTCGCTAACTTGTTTATAATCTGGTTCAGCTATATTTTCCCTTGAAAAACCATTTTTGTTGAACTAGGACCACATTTTGCATCTGTAATGCGATTTTAATGTGGATATCATGCAACAAAATGCCTGAGATTTTTAATTACTGGTAGCTAACTGCAGAAAGCTTAGAAAAAACGAAAGAAACCCGTGGATTGGTAGAAAGCCTACCTCGTAAAATTATCAAAGAAGGGCGACGTGGGTCTCTACAAGAACGCGTGTAATAATGCTCTTGTCCATGCCAAGTAAAATACTAAGTCTCATCTTCCTGGAGGGAATTAAACGTGCACTGAATGCAGAGCTCCGCCCCACCGACCAGAATAAGCTGGATTCAGGAAAGGCAAACCATGTGTTGACTGAATTGCAACTCCACGCATCATCGTCGAATAATGCACAGAATGACAGTCCAAACCTCAACCACGATTTCATCGACCCTGAAAAGGCCTTAAACAGTGTTGACCTCTAAGTAGTTTGGAAAATACTTCAACCCTATGGCGTGCAGTGCCCAATTCTTTATCATCTTCATCCAACAGTTGGCTATATGACAATGTCAAGTGTCAAGTGATCCCTAATGGAAAACTCAGCGAAGGCTTTGAAGTGAAGACAGGAGGTGGTGAAGATAACCAACAAACAGCAACAACAGCAGCACCAATCACCATCAACTGGATGAATTTGAAATGAAATGATAATGACGTAATAACAATAATAACGGCTAAATAGCAGTTAGCTTCCACTTAATACAATCCTGTAAAATTTTTAATTTTAAATTAATATTTACTTAGTGCATACATACCTATATTTTGAATAATGTCTACTCAGTTATAATGGGTTTCTGAGACAGAATTCAGTGAAAGGAAAAGAGGCTGTGAAATTAAAGCAGGATTGAAACTATGCATTCTACCGCACTTGGATGCATCTTCTCTAAGTGGTATATCAAAGGCATCATTCATTTTTTCACCTTACCACATGTTTTTTTTATCAGTGACTGGTGCCCAGTGATGCTAAGCCAGATATTACCAATCACCCTATATTATTATTATTATTCCCTTGGGTTCCGAGTCGAACATACGGCTTCGACAACACATCTCCATTTTGTTCTATCTTCTTCCATCCCCTTCAGCTGGGTCCACGATTGCCCACAATCTCTCATCTCCTCCTCACATGATGTCCTCCATGTCACCCTCTCACTGACGACACACTCGTCGCTTCCTATTTGGATTCCACTCGAGCGATGGCCTGGATTGCGCGTGATGTCATTCGACGGCCTCCTCAACAGTTGCCCGATCAATGCATACCCATTTTCTCCTACATATTTGTTTTGCGATCGGCTCTCACCTATTGGTATGTTCCCAGTCAGAGTTTCTTGTTACTAATTCTCTCCAGCCAGCTGGCTGGCCATTTGATCTTCAGTTTGGAGTCAACCAGCGAAGTGGGTAGCTGATGATAATAGTCTGTAGTTGGCTGTTGGAAATGCTTTTCGTGACACGCTGGCCAAGTTTGTGACCCGTATAGAAGCACTAACCGACTTGACATTTGCGTTGAAAATGCGAATCTTGTTCCTTATGGTGAATGCGGAAGATTTCCAAACTGGTTTCAGGTTGATGAAGGCGTATCTTACCTTTCCGATTCTGGTCTACCTCCACATCTTCATCCGTTCCGACTGCCTGCAGTTGAAACGATGCTTCCTAGTTAAGTGAGTGTAGGAAGTAACCTCTGTCAAATCTCTCCCGTTGATGGTGAGTGGTGCTGGTCGTTGTCATTGTTGCGGTTCGTCGGTTATCTTCATCACCTCCGTCTTCTCTATGTTCACCTGCATTCCTGTCTTCTATGGCTGCCTCTTCAGCCAGTTTGTTTGTTTTCGCTTGCAAGTCTTCGAGTTTGTGAGACATTAGACATATATCATCTACACGCAAAATCCAGATCTCCTAGAGTCTTCTTTTCAGTGGTGCAACGTATTGCTGTCTTCTTACTCCCCACTCGCAGTCTGACGCATAATCCAATCCACCACAATTATGAATATCATCAGCGGTAATAGGCATCCAGCTTGTCTTACTCCTGTATGCACTTCGAACACCTCTCTGAGTTTGCCGTTGTGGATGATCTGACAGGCGTTGTCATATAGCGAGCAGTTGAATGAGGTTGATAAAGACTTGGGCATTGTACTCCATAATGTTGAAGTATTTTCCAAATTACGTCTCTATCAACGTTGTCGAAGGCGTTTTCGAAGTCGATGAAGGAGGTTGAGGTGGAGTTTTAACTGCCATTGTATTCTTTGTTCTGTGATGACGGTGCGTAGAGTTGCAATTTGATCAGCACATGATTTGTCTCTCCTGAATCCAGCTTGTTGTGGTCGGTGGGGCTGTGTAGTTCTGTATCCAGTGCGTCTTTTATTCTCTCCAGGATGATACGACTTAGTATTTCACTAGGCGTGGACAAGAGCATAATTGCACGCCCAGTTCTTGCCGAGTGAGGAGTAAGTTACCCTTCTCTGGCACCTCGACGAGATAGCCAGGCTTTCTTCCAATCGGTAGTTACCTTTTTCTTCTTTCCAAACCTTTTGCAGTGATGGCGTGAGAGCATCTGCGGCAGTCTCTGCATCCGTTTTCAGTACCTTGGGTTGGGGGAATTCCGTGTTGTCCCCCTGCCTTCCGTGCAGGCCTTCAGTAGCTTGATCGCATTAAGGATTTCTGCTTTCATTGGAGGATTGGTGTTCACTGGTAGGCACTTCTGTGCGTGCTGTTGGTGGTATTGGTAGTGGTATTTCTGGGCGAACTGCAGATGATAGTCGATTCAAGAGTCCTTTATAATGATCAGCCCATTGTTTTATTTGTTCATCCTCCTTGGTGATCAGGTTCCCTTGGACATCTTTTATTGGTTTCATCGTCTGGGTTGATCCTTTCCCCGATAGCGAGCCGCCTGTCTGATGTAATGTTCTCAGGTCTCTCTTACCTGCGGCCTGCCTGCCTACCTGTTCTGCTTCAGTTGCCGCCAGCCAGTGTGTCGTAGAATTGTCTTTTGTTCTTCCTAGCAGTCTTCTTCACATCTCCCTTCGTTCACTGCAGTGAACATCGCTGTGAACTCAGCTTTTCATTCTGTTGCCCATGTTTGCATTGAGTCATCTCTTTCAACATCCTCCTCTCCTCGCTTCTTTGAGGAGTGTCCGTTGACAGCCATTCCTTGTTGTGTCTCATTTTTCTTCCTAGAATGGTTGCGCACGTTTCCTTAAACATCAACTTCAGACAGTTAGTTATTCCCAATATTCTTCCACACAGGTTTCCTCAGTGATGAATCCCCGACTTCGCTCTGATCTGATCTGATCCCTTGTAGGTTAGTCTCTCAGCTTCTGAATGTTGAACTTGAATTGTGGTGGTTTGTCTCCAGTTATTTTGAGGGAATTCAGCTTCACCTTGAAGGATCCTTAAACTAGGTGATGGTCTTAGCCCACATATGCTCCTCTTCTCGACTTCGTGTCAAGCAGGCTGGCTCCGTTTCCACTTCGTTGAGCAGCATTAAGATGACTTGTAGTGTATCCGTCAGGCGAAATCCATGTTGCTCTGTGTATATTCTTGTGCTTGTATACGCTGCCTCCGATCACCAAATTATTGGAAGTGCGGAAGTCTGCGAATAATTCCTTGTTCTTATTCATTTCGCCAGGTGTGAGCCTCTCGACCCATGATGAGTTCTTTACCTGTATCATCAGCTCCCAGTTCGGCTGGCATTCGTATCACCCATGAGGATTTTGATGTTCATTACTGTCTGTAGTTGTCTGTAAAAATCTTCCTTCTTCTCTTATTCCACCTTGTTTGTAACACTGTGGGTAGCATTGGATAATTTTTACCTTCCTTCCTTTTGAGTTGAATCTTGCTGTCCTGATCCTGCAGGATGAAGTTGGTTCCCATTGCATTAGGGCTGTGGCTGCTACTGGTGACATCATTATAGCCACTCGCCACCTCAGTGTGTTTGTGGTTGTCGTTTGGGTGACCAGACCGGAGTTAATTATTGACTCTCCAATTGAAAATTTTGATAATCCACATCCATTCCATCTGTTTTCACAGATACCCAGTACTTTTAAGCCATATCTTCGCATCTCTTTAGCTACCTGGACAGCCTTCCCAGCCAGCCTCGTACATTGTACGCACATTTCAAGTCTCCGTTATAATTCTTGCTTTCATCGAGAGAAGACGCATCATCTGGCTGACTGGCTTCCCGAAGGCTTTCACCAGCCAGGTGTGTCATTCCGATACTCCAATTGCAGGGAAGAATATGATTTTTATTTGGAGTTTTTGTATTCCTAATATATTTTCTGTGTGTTGAAGTTTCTCTAGAGGTTTGAAAAATTGAGTGGTGTGGGGTTGCTAGCCCCACACCCAACCCTCCCCTTTTACCCGGGCTTGGGACCGGCTAGAAAACTAGCGAGCTAATTAACTAGGCGAGGTTGATCGCCCTGTATGATAAGGAAATTCGCTGTTGGAGTGTACTAAGTAAGTATTGATGAAAGCTTTTTTGTACTATAAATCGACTTGTGAAGACCTGACTCCTTCGCCTAAGCACTTTACTTTCACCTCACTGGTCTCTGGTTCGAACCCCGTTTCATCTACTTCGGCCTTGAAATATGGGTACTGTCGTTAGCCCTCACTCACTGAGTATGTCTCATGCAACCAAAGAAGTAAAGGGTCAATGCAAACGTGTAGCGCTTATAACTGAACTGGTGGTTATGGAGATCTATCTAGGGTAGCTGAAAAACCCTGATTTCAAACCTATCATGTACATCGGATGGAGAATCCGGAAGCACTGAATGACGTATGAACCTGTTTCGGTCACCACCAAGCATGGGCTGTAGCCCCTGACGCTGCTACTCTGCCTTATGGATCGAACTTCATGTTAGATGCTTGGATGTGGGTGGGGACTAGGATAGCCGCTTGCTTTGGTCTGGACGTCTGGGCAGTATCCCAGCCCATATAGGATTTTGTAGAACATCTGTTGGCACTCATAATCTACGAAGTATGTGTTGTAGTGATATTAACATTTAATATGACTCAAACCTTGGTATATGAATTATCTGTTCCGGGTAACCGAGTTCTAAGAATATAAACAGTCTTATTTTAAATGTGGTTAATAAGACTAATATTGTTTATGTACCAAAGTGATTTATATAAGTTTAGAACTGTTACCTCATCACCCTAGTACGCTCTGGACCATTGACCCCTATATTTATATAGTTTTAATATATATAATTCAAATATTTGCTAGCGAACGGAGTTGGTAAACACTAAGAGTGAATTTATTTATTGTTAATACATATAAAATTTTAATGTAGTCGTGTATAATGTTTACAGAAATAACCACAGGATTCAGTTTTATGTATTGATTAATGGGATAACTCCATTATGGATAAGATTTTATTTTGATAAATCACACAGTGTTGTACAGTAATATTAACTGATGACGTTTCGAGCATAAACTATTGTTCATAATCATATCAAGTTATGGTTTAAAATAGGGAGTGGAACTGTGGTGGAGATTGTACTAACTCTAATGGACTAATTGCTGACAAAATCTCATTCTGTACTTTTTATCTTGAGTCACCTCTGGTATAAACGTGATACTTGACTGTAGTACGGCATTTCTCTTTGTCCTGCGTTTCTGTTTGGAAACATGGTCGCTGAAGATACTAGATATGTAAAGATCTGTATTAGGTAATAGGTAAGCATATAGAGTACTGTCTTTCCACCTCGTCAGTTTGATTTGTGCACTTTAGTTGTTCTGTTGCTTGAGGATGCTAATGAATTACAGTCTTATGGAAATTTTTTGCAAGTTAATAATGCATGGAATGTTATTCAATATCTTAATTGAAGATTGTTATTTCAAGAATAGTTAGTGTCGATAATTTTTCCGATTCTAGATGGTGAATTGGGTGGTGGTTCGACCACTTCACATACTTAGATTGGTGACTGACAAAGCATCACTAGTCAGATTGTGTCAGGTGATGTGACAGAGGTATGTGACTGTACATTAGTCGTTGAGATTAATGTGTAGCAAGTTGCTGCGCCCTGCTCTAAAGCTGAGAATTATGGTCATACAGTTAGGAGATATCATAAGGTCCTAATTATTTGACCATCATTGGTTTGTTGGCTTTTCAGACTCTTGGCAGAATCATCATATGTGCTTTGTAGAAGTTGGGCGTAGAGTTCCAGATAGAATAGTGAAGTCATTGAAAGAGATTATTAATGAATATTTTCTGAGGTATCCCGGTCATGCAAAATGTTTTACTGTCCACTATCTAATTTTAGATTATGTGACTCAAAACCATAGCTCCATTTATATTGCCTCTTAACTGTAGCGTCAATTCTCTATTTACTTAATCCTTACCCGCTTTTGTTTACAATCTACCATAGTTTTTGTATTTGTTCACTGTTCTTTTGAATCTGGATTGTTTTGCTAAGTGATTGGTGTGTAGAGTGAGACGTAGCAACTTAGACCTTCAAACACCAGTAGTACATCCCATGCTGATAATATTTGTTTACCTCTTTGTTCTGCAAGTGTTCATTTTCTTTTCCAAGATACTGCTGATAAGATTTTCGAAGTACGCTTTTACAATCTGTGTGTATCACCTTACTTCATAAATATATTTAAGATAAACAACGGAATAATGAAATTATGACTTTCGTCACTTTTATCTTTGACTTTATACCCATAAATGTGTATTTATGTGTATATTGGTAAAAATTATTCTCTATTTCGTTTTATAAAATAGGCAAATGGTATTAAATTGGGTCCTCAACAATTGACCAATCGACAGACTGGTTCTTATGGCCCTGTCGGCTCAGATGCAGATTCAAGTAATACTCTAAGAAAACGTTGTTGTTAGTCTGTAACAACGAGCATGCGGTATGGTCACTGCATAACACAGGGAAATCAGCTATCAGCTAAAACAGAAATTAATAAACGGCAGTAATTGAAATGATACAGAAATATTGTTGTTATTATTTCATTATGATTCCGCCAGAAATCTTTCCATTTTGTATCTCAGTCAGTCGGTCAGTTTTATGCTTTTTTTTTATCAATTATTTCTGTGAGTTTTAACTCTGTTGGCTGTTTCATTTTATTTTGTTGTTTTCGTTCCAAATATTTCTTTGACCGTGAATCGTGCACATTTTATATTGACTTTTGTGAATCCCCGTAATATAACTGTTTTTCTTTTTGTCGTTGAATGACTTACCTTACGTGTTGCTTACCTCTATTCCTGAGTTTTTCATTAT